ACTCAGCCCATTCCAATAAACAATGAATCAAACAACTCCAAATTTGCCGAACTCCAGCAAATGATGAAACAGCTTATGACGCAAGTTGCCAACGTTATACATATTTTAACCATCCTAATCACCAAACTCGATGGACAGAAATAAATTAAAAATTTTAGCTTGGAATGCAAACGGTCTCAGCAAACAACTACTAGAACTAAGAACATACTTCAATATCAATTCCATTGATATACTACTGGTATCAGAGACACACTTCACAGATAAAAGTTTCATCAAAATACCTAACTATTCGATATATTATACAAATCATCCCGACAACAAAGCCCATGGTGGAACAGCAGTAATTATTAAGCAAAATATGCAATGCTCAATAGCCAGTATATACCAAACAGAACAAATACAAGCTACAAGTGTCCACATTCAAGATACAAAAGACGAGTTAACAGTATCAGCTATTTACTGCCCTCCGAAGCACTATAACTCGAAGGATGTATACCTGAGCTACCTTAACACTCTCTGCAATCGGTACATTGTTGGTGGAGACTTTAATGCAAAAAAAACTTTATGGGGCTCAAGAATTACAAACTCTGTTCAAATTTGAACATGTGTCTGTGCGCTAATTACCTAAGTAACATATTCAGTTATTTGGGTATTAAATATTTAGGCATTTTATTTAATATTTTACTATTTTATTTTATATTTTAGTAAATTAAATTAATTTCTAAAAAAGGTTTTTCAAATATTTTGTTACCAAAGTTGTTTCATATTTTAAAATATGAAATGTAATAACAGGGATAAGTAATGTAACTAAAGAAAAAGGAAGTAATTAAATAAGGTAACAAAGAAAAAGGTTAAGGGACATTTCCTTTAACCTTGTACCTAAAAGAAAAACCTAAAAAAAACCTAATTATTAAACTATGTAAATTTTAGTATTTAAGAGCAAAAATTATAGAAAATAAAGGGAGTCTTATATTTATTGTAAAATCGAACAGACGTGTGTTTTTAGTTGTAGTTTCTTGCACATAAGTGGTCCATACGAGGCACGGAACTAAGCAAACCTAGAAGAAAATTCAGTCCACTTGATCCGAGGAAACGCAATAATTAACAAGGGTTAAAAAGCGTTTGGGGAATAATTCTCGTCGAAATATAAACGAGAAAATAAAGGAAATTAAAAACAAAACCAACAAAACTAAGAAAGTTTTTGTAAATTAAAAAACAAAAATGTTATCAGAAAAAAAATGAAGGCCATCTATCTGTTCAGATGAAACAATACCAGGCACTCATATACGAGATCCAAATATGAAATAATTTGGAGAAGGTAAAAAATAATTGGAAAACTCTTGTTTCAAATCACAAAGAGATTTTGAATAAGATAGGCGCTGTAGATCATGAATATTTCAACAGGAACTTGTATGCCGACGCTGAAGAAAAGTACAACGAATATATAAAAAAAGGAACATCAGGTCCAGCATCAGGAGCAGCATTAGGTCCAGCATCAGAAGCAGCATCAGGTCCATCATCAGAAGCAGCATCAGGTCCATCATCAAGAGCAGCATCAGGTCCAGCATCAGGCACAGTATCAGGTTCATCGTCAAAAAGCAAATATGAGGAAGAAACAAAGGCAACACTACATACAAGAGACTCAATAAAAACATACGAGATATTGTTTGATGAAATAGGTAAAAATATAGTCAACATTGAGGGAAGTCTTAAGTATGATGACAACTCAAGAAATGATTTAATGAAATATCAGTGGAAGGTGAGTTCCTTATGAGTTCCTTATTCAACAAAAATTAACCATTGATATGAAGGAAAATAATTTGGAGATCGTCCAGGATGAAAGATATATAAGAATTCAAGATGATTACATGTCACTTAAGTTGAATTTGGACGAAAGAATACAAAGGATGGGAGGAAATATGGAGGAAACATCGAAGATTTCAATTCCTGAAGTATTGCGCATTAAGAAATTTGGAGGAGCCCAAAAAGAATGGATATCCTTTGCAGCAGAATTTGATGAGCTAGTACACAGAAAAAAAGAAGTCTCAACCTCAATAAAACTAAGGCATTTAAGATCATTGCTGTATGGAGAGGCAAGGTCAATGGTACATCACTTACTATTAGGTAATGACGAAAATTACGAAGCGGTATGGGAGTTCCTAAAAGAGAAATATGAAAATAAAAGAAACATATTCTCAACCGCACTTAATGAGCTGATGGATTTACCGGCACTAGATGGAAAAAAACTTAACTCCATCAACAAATTTATCTCTACAATTAACGAATGCAGTTTCATCATAAAACAATAAGCAGCTATAAATGATGACGCTGTTTTTATCTTAGCGCATATTGTGTTAAGAAAATTTAAAGGAGAAGTAAAGCAGCAATACGAACACACCATTAAAAGGAACAGGGAAGTTCAACAATTAAATGATGTTAGAAAGTTTTTGAATGAACTTCAATCGTCATTTTCATTAGAAGAAGTTGCAAGACAACCACTGTATAAAGCCCGGGAGAATCAAATGAATCAATTTTGTAAGTACTGCAATAAACCAGGACATTTCATGGTAGAATGCTATATGTTCATAAAACAAACACTAGAGAAAAAAAAGAAAATTTTGACAAAACTAAACATATGCCAAAAATGTTTGAAACATGACTCTGCAACTAAATGTTACAAACTAGTGTCATGTGACGAATGTAAAGGAAATCATCATACACTATTGCATCAACAGAGGAAAATAAAAAAATTGAAAGAATTTCAACAAATATGACTACCAACACAAAAAAAGATACCATTCTTGCTACAGCTATGGTAAACGTGAGTGCAGCAAATGGAGAGAAGATATTATTGAGAGCTCTAGTAGATAGCGGATCTCAAACAACACTAGTATCAGAAGAAGCAATACAAACTCTAAAATTACCAAAGATCAAAGCAACAACGAAAATCACAGGATTTTCATCCGAACATGTAGAGTTATCTATATAAAGCAAATTTAGAAATCTCGCCGCGGTTTCAAAGCAATAAGAAAGTTGAAGTAGAAGCCATTGTAATGTCAAAACTACACAAATCTCTTCCAAGTAAATCATTCGAAATAACATCGATGAAATTGAATAAGCAGATCCTTGGTTCAACATTGTAGGCAGAATCGATATCATAATTGGATCAGATTTGATACCTGAAATTTCACAAACAAAGATTCGAAAAATCAATGGATTGATCTTGCAAGAGACATCTTTGGGATGGGTAGTTTCAGGAAATATAGAACGTACAGCAGCCAAAAATATAACAACAGCAAGTGCTACAGTAGATATAGCAGATCTAGAACGATTTTGGGAAATTGAAGAAGAAGCAGAAGACATCAGCAAAGAAAATGAACGATGTGAAGAGCACTTCAAAACAAATACTAAACGAACTGAAGATGGAAAATTTACTGTAGCAATTCCTTTCAAAGATGATAAACAACTAGGCAACTCCAGGAAATTAGCAACGGCAAGATTATTAAGTATGGAAAGAAAATTTATTCAAAATCCATCTCTAAAAGAAGAATACTCCAAATTTATGAAAGAGTATCTCAATTTAGGCCATATGAAACCAGCAAATTCGTTCAATAAAGGAAAATATTAATTGCCTCATCAAGCTGTTATTAGAAACTCAAGTAACACGACTAAACTTAGAGTAGTTTTCGACGCATCAGCCAAAACATCAAATGGTAAAAGTCTGAACAACATAATGATGGTTGGTCCCCGCTTACAGAGAGACATATTTGAAATAATTGCTAAATGGAGAAAATGGCAATTTGTTCTAGCTGCAGATGTGGAAAAAATGTATAGGCAGATAAAAATTTCTAAAGAAGACCAGGATACCAACATGTTCTTTGGAGGGAAGAACCATCACATCCGATTAAAGAATATAAATTAACAACTGTAACTTATGGTACAACATCAGCACCATTTTTAGCGGTAAGGCCATTGCAGGAAATGGCACTTGATTCAAAGCTGAATTATCGGATACAGGAAATAATTAAAAATGATTTCTACATGGACGATTTGCTGACAGGAGACGATTCAATTGAGAACTGCAATAAAATATGTAAGAAGTTACAAGATCACCTACAAAAATATGGGTTTCACCTTAGGAAATGGCTTACCAACAATAAAAAGATAGCATTGCAATTTAACGCGAAGATCACTAATGATATTGTAAATATCAACGAAAATGAGGTAACTAAAACTTTAGGACTGCAGTGGGATCCTGCAACAGACTGCTTTTCATTTAAGATTAATGCAGATATAAATGAAATAGCAACAAAGCGGATAGTTCTGTCAACTATTGCAAAAATATTTGATCCGATGGGATGGCTAGCACCAATAATAATTGTGTCAAAATTATTAATTCAACAATTATGGTTAAATAATAAAAAATGGGATGATCAATTAGAAGATGACGCAGCTAAAATTAGGTATAAATACACAGAACAACTATCAATGATTGAGAAAATAAAGATACCACGTTGGATTAAGTCAACAAATGAAGCAAAACTGATTCTACACGGATTTGCAGACGCTTCAGATAAGGCATATGCAGCTGTCTTGTATGCAGTCGTTAATGGAATAAGTACTATCGTTGCAGCCAAAACAAAGGTTAACCCCATTAAAAACAGGAAAACTATACCAAAATTGGAACTCTGTGCAGCACACCTTCTAGCAAAACTAATTGAAAAAATAAAACGAATCATAGATAATAAGGTCCAAATATATGCATGGAGTGATTCAAGAATCGTTCTAGCATGGATAAAAAATAATAAAAACAAAGAGAAATTCATAAAGTCAAGAGTTGCTGATATTCAAAAATTGTTGCCTAACATTAACTGGAGATATATGACTACTGATAATCCAGCAGATGTTACATCGAGACGAATATATCCAGAAAAATTACAAAATCATGAATTGTGGTGGACTGGACCTACTTGGCTACAAAAAACTGAAAATTGCTGGCCGGATGCGGAAGAAGAATCTAAAGAATACGATGAAGCATTAATTGCAACAATCAATGTTACCTCAGATGCATTGTATATGGCATTGGAAAAAATATCCAATATTCATAAATTAAAAAGAGTAATAGCTTATGTTATTAGAGCCGTTGGAAGAATGCGTAAAAATAGATATCCTGAATATTTGACAATTGATGAACTAAAAATTACAGAAACTCATATATTTAAGATACAACAAAAAGTAGATTTTCCAGAAGAAATAAATTGTTTAAAGATAAACAAAGAAGTTAAAATGAAATCTAAATTACTGCCCTTAGCACCCTTTCTGGATCAAAATGGAATACTCAGAGTAGGAGGTAGAATACAAAACTCAAACCTTCCTTACGGAATTAAACACCCAATTATTTTGGACAAATTTCTTCTAAGTGCATTAGTAATAGAAGATATACATAAACGCACTCTGCATGGAGGTGTTAACCAAATGAAAGCTGTCGTTCGTGAAGCATATTGGATAATCGGTCTTACAAACGCTGTTAAAAAATGTAGCAGGCAGTGCGTAAAATGCACTAGATATAAATATAATCAAAAAAATCAAATTATGGGCATTCTACCAGATATTAGAGTACAACAAGCACATCCGTTTATAAATACTGGCGTAGATTATGCAGGACCATTTAAATTCAAATGCTCCAAAGGAAGAGGACTCAAGACATTTAAAGGTTATGTAGCAGTTTTTGTTTGTTTAGCAACAAAAGCAATTCATCTGGAAGCAGTTGGGGATTTGTCATCGGAGACATTTCTAGCAGCATTAAAAAGATTCTTCTCAAGGCGAGGAAAATCAAAAAATATCTATTTGGACAATGGAATAAACTTCGCTGGAACAGCAAACATTCTAGAAAGGGACATAAAAGCAGCAATAAAATCCAACAATAAACTTGCGCCAATCTTGGCTTCTGAAGGCGTTCAATGGCATTTTATTCCCCCGGCAGCTCCACACTTCGGTGGAATTTGGGAGGCCGGAGTAAAATCGTTAAAATATCACTTAAAACGAGTTGTTGGAGAAACCAATCTAACATATGAAGAAATGTCAACTTTATTGCATCAAATAGAAGCAGTCTTCAATTCAAGACCTCTATATCAACAGAGTGACGGGGTTGGAGAAGATACAGTATTGACTCCTGCTCATTTTTTAATAGGAAGATCATTGTTAAGTGTCCCTGAACCAATTCCAGACTGTACAATTGGTAATTTGGACTGGTGGAGGTTTTTACAAAAATTAAGAATGGATTTTTGGAAAAAATGGAAAAAGGAATACTTGGTGGCACTGCAACAACGAAATAAATGGCAGAAAACACAGGAAAATTATAAGAAGGGACAAGTAGTTATAGTTAAAAAAGAATTGACTCATCCAGCAAAATGGCCAATGGGAAAAATAGAGGAAATACATCCTGGAACTGATGGAAAAGTAAGAGTTGTCTCAATATAAACCAAAGATGGCTACATAAAAAGACCAATAGTCAAGATTTGTCCACTAAGAATTGAAGAAAATATATCCGAAGTGGAATCAGAAAATAAGCATGTGTCACACATAACAACAGCTGAACATAAGAAGAAGCCAGCAAAATTAGGAAAGGGTTACAACATCTTAATGTATTTCTTTGCGCTATTATGGTTGTCCGCAGGCAACGCTGAAGTAATTCGGGGAGGATCAGTAAATGAACTTAGCTACAACACCTTCCTATATATGGACAAAATTGGAATAGTTGACCGCGTATCAACATCATGGAACTTAGTAGTTCACTATAATATGCAACCGTATTTTAAAGCAGTAGACCACATGGAATTTCTAATAATACGCTGCAAGGAAATATGTCTTAAGCTGAAATCATTCGAAGATCAATGCAAAACTACAGTGACCAACATGGAAAACAGAATTTCCGAACTAAAGGAAAATGATAAATTATTCAGTCATCGAAGCAGTAGTCGGAAAAAGAGAGCTCCTTTCGGAATCATTGGTTCTTTGTTTCTTGTTTTGTTTGGAGTGTTAGATGAAGATGACAGAGACATTATTGAAAATAATATAAGGAATGTTCTGTCAAATGAACATGATATAAACCATCTGATTAAGCAGAAAACTACAGTAGTGGAATCGAGTGTTAATATTTTAAAGAAAACAACCAATGAAGTCAATGATCACTTTGAAAAAATGAACATCGAAGTAAATAACATCAAAGAGACACTTAAAGAACACTATATGCTTTATCGAGAAACAATTAATTTCTTGGTGATGATCAAGAATTTAGAAAACTTTTTAGAAGAAGCTGAAAAAATTCAAACTCTAATCATTACATTAGTAATTGATGTCAACCATGGGAAGATAAATACAAATCTGATAAAACCCTCCAAACTGGAGGACGAAATCGGAAAAATTAAACAACATCTCAACGGGCGTTCTCAGTTACCAGGCAGGTCGACCAAAACAATGTTGCAGACAATTTATCAACTGATGATAACAACAGGAATCTTTGTGGATGAGAAACTTGTGATAAGAGCAAAAATTCCATTACTGGACATTAAATCTGGAACGATATTTAATATATTACCAGTTCCATTTATTAAAGGAACCAAATCGTTAGTACCGGTATTAAAAGAAGAATTCGTTATTTATAACTACGATTTGGACAGTTATCATCTTATGTCTCAGGCAGAATTGAACTTGCGCAAAAAAGACGAAAGCGATTACATATGTGAGGGAAATTTGGCATGGAAGAATGCAAACGACAATTCTTGCGAATTGGCAACTTTACAACCAGCTAACGCCTATAGATGTAACTATAAAGAAAATATGGAATCAGAATTCGGGATTGAATTAAAATCAAAATCTAGTTGGTTATACAGCTACAAAGGGAAGGCATCAGTCCATATATATTGTCTAAATGATATGCAGGAAATACTACCATTGGGTAGGAAAGGAATACTATCACTCAACAAGGGTTGTACAGGAAGAATTGGCAGAACAACGCTTACGGCATCAACAAGAATAAATACTAATCTACAGGATGGCTTCAAAACGTATTTGTTAAAGGAAATAGATAACTCTACTGGTGAATTTATGCACCCAACGGACCATTATTTTACTATTTTATTTTATATTTTAGTAAATTAAATTTATTTCTAAAAAAGGTTTTTCAAATATTTTGTTACCAAGGTTGTTTCATATTTTAAAATATGAAATGTAATAACAGGGATTAGTTAATGTAACTAAAGAAAAAGGAAGTAATTAAATAAGGTAACAAAGAAAAAGGTTAAGGGACATTTCCTTTAACCTTGTACCTAAAAGAAAAACCTAAAACAAACCTAATTATTAAACTATGTAAATTTTAGTATTTAAGAGCAAAAATTATAGAAAATAAAGGGAGTCTTATATTTATTGTAAAATCGAACAGACGTATGTTTTTAGTTGTAGTTTCTTGCACAAACTGCAAAGGGAAAAATTTACATAATGCTATCATTGACAAAAAAGCAGACATTCTAAGCATAGGTGAACCTACATACTGGCCTACCGATATGAACAAAATACCAGACGTTATTGACTTCTTCGTGACCAAAAATATAAACAAACGATTTCTCACAG